GTTCTGTGTCGTGTATATTTCTTATAATCCGTTCCTTTTGCAGTGTTTGCTGTTGACAAGAGGTTAAAGTCACGACATCCAGTTCTACTTCTGTGACTGTTTCCTTCATCAGTCAGCCAACACTGGTGAAGCTGAAGACAAAAGTTACTCTGTTACATCTATATAATATCCATCCATCCATCCATCCATTTTCCTCCGCTTATCCGGGGTCGGGTAGCGGTGGCAGCAGGCCAAGCAGGCTGACCCAGACCTCCCTCTCACCAGCAACATGTTCCAGCTCATTCTGGGGGATCCCGAGGCGTTCCCAGGCCTAATATTTATGTGTTATATCTGTGTTGAAGGAGGAGAGAAACTTCCATCATGAAGGGCAGAACGAGTCTCCTCCTCTTCCTCGTCATAGCGGCGTGTTCCTCTGGATCCGCTGCTCTGACTACAGGTGGGTTTAAACCGGTTTGACAGATTGTGTGTGTGTGTGTGTGGGGGCGGTGGCAAGTACAGTATATGGTGTTTATGTGAAGAAAGTACAGTCGCAGGTTCCACCATACAACATCATGAGTAAATATATTTTGAGATTAACAACTGGTGAAACTGGAGCTTCACAGTACAACAATGATCCATTAGTTCATCACAATGTGTTCCTCTGAGACCTATCGTAGTTCATGTACAGCTGAACCTTTTTTTCTTCTCCGGCTCAGAGTGTGAAAACGCCACCTTGGCCGACATCGTCTTCCTGGTCGACGGCTCCAACAGCATCGGTCGCGATAACTTTCAGAAGGTCCGGTCTTTTCTCTGCAGCCTCATCAAGGCCCTGGACATCGGCCCTGACAAGGTTCGGATCGGCTTGGCTCAGTACAGCAATAAAACCTTCCCGGAGTTCCTGCTGAAGGATCACACGAACAAGAAATCCTTGCTGGCTGCAGTGGAAAAGCTTCCCTACCGAACAGGAGGCACCAAAACAGGCGAGGCCATCGAATACCTCCAAAAGAACTACTTCACAGAGGGCGCTGGGAGCCGAGCCAAACAACGGGTGCCTCAGATCGCTGTGGTCATCACGGATGGAGACTCCCAGGACAACGTGACGCCGTCCGCCCAGCTCCTGAGGAAGCACGGAGTCATCGTGTTTGGCATTGGGGTCGGAGCAGCCAACCGGAAGAAGATGGGGTCCATCGCTAACTGGCCTCCAGAGCGCTTCCTGTCCTCTATCAAAAACTACCAGGATCTGAAGACACTGAAAGATCGTCTGCTGCAAATGGTTTGCGTCACTGTGGAGGATCAGAGGCAAGGTAATGAAATATAAAAACATCTAGCCAACGTTCATCTTTTCAAATACACAAAACGGCCGAAGTCTAGATCAGACTGTTAGCTAGTTTGATGGTCCCACCCTGCCTCTCAGCCTGAGGGTCTATGTTACCTTTTATTTGCTACTGTTACATAAGCATTAGCATTTCAAACGGTTCAACTGATTACTGTCAGTTTTTGAGGTACATGTCGATGTAGTCAAGGTGGCAGTTTGCTTTAAAATAAAATGCTCTCAATGCATCCTTGTCCGAAGCGTTGCTGTTCCCAAGCTCAAAGACGGCCGTCACAGAAAGACATGATTTATTGTATAAATAAGGAAACGGGTATTTGTGGGGTTGCACCTGCTTATACATGAACAAAGTCCTGCTGTGAAGCCTGAAAAATGAGAGCTTGGGAGCATATTGTCTCCTTCAAGGTGAAGTCAGTTATGCTGAATTCTTTGACAAATTCTTGACAAACCGGCCACGACTCTAAACTGTGGGTGTAGCAACACTTGAGCATACTGACACCTTGACTGTACCGCTATAAGATGTAATTGTGTTTGTCTCTGCTTTCAGCTTTGGCGGACCGGTTTGGAGATACTTTGTTCCTGGTGGACAGCGGCATACCTCCCGAACAGTTCTCCATATTTAAGAAAGACTTTCTCAAATTGATTGACGAGCTTAACGTCGGCGCGTCCAGCTACCGCATCGGTTTGGCTCAGTACGGTCAAGAACCCAAGATGGAGTTTTATCTCAATACTTTTCAAACTAAACAGGAAACCCTGGCTGTTGTGAAACGTTTCCGCCTTGCCCCGCAACCCAACCGACCACGAAACCTGGGCCGAGCTCTGAAGTACGCCAGCACTCACTTTTTTACCCGTGAGGCGGGGGGGCGAGCCCACCAAGGCACCCCACAGTCCCTGGTCGTTGTGAGTGGAAGAAAGTCCGATGATTATGTGTCCGAGCGCGCTCAAAATATCAAAAAAGCAGCGGTAACTGTTTATGGGATGAGTGCAGGTGCAAGCATGGATGAGTTAATGTTATTTGCCAGTGATGGATACGCATTCGATTCTCCCCGATTACTTCTTTTGAAGGATTTCTTGATGACGGAGCAAAAGGAGACCATTACTGAAGGTGAGAACCATCATCCGTCATTCATTTGAGAAACTTTGGGAAACTGTATTTCATGTTTTTGTCATTCTTCAGTTAGTGACAGACTTTAACGGCAGCGAGGAACAAATGATAATGACATAATTGACGCAAAATGATTCTAGCTCGTCCTTCATTTTAAAAATAAAAGTAATTCATTGAATGAAATTCTAATTTTAATGTAGCATTCCTGTGATATAGTTCATCTTCACATATATTTGAATGGTTAAGTAGAAGATAGCTCAAGTAACTAACTACACTCTTTTCACAGATTGCAAAGGAGCCATTGTGGCCGACATCGTGTTCATCGTCGATGAGTCTGGAAGCATCGGAAACGACAACTTCCAGCTGGTGCGCACTTTCCTCCACTCGGTTGTGAGCGGCTTGGATGTCAGTCCGTCTCGTGTCCGAGTGGGCATCGTTACGTACAACACCGAGTCCACAGCACAGGTCTACCTCGACACCTTCGATGACAAGGACGAAGTCCTCCAGTTCATCAAGATCCTGCCTTACGGTGAAGGCGGAACGAACACTGGAGCAGCTCTAAACTTCACCCTGAAAGAAATCTTCATTGAGGAAAAGGGCAGTAGGAAAGCAAAGGGTGTCCAGCAGGTGGCGGTGGTGATCACAGACGGTGAATCCCAGGACACCGTGAGCGACGCAGCGATCAACCTCCGTCGGGCTGGGGTCACCATTTACACTGTAGGAATCGAAAATGCTAACAAGCCTCAACTGGAGGAGATGGCGACTCACCCCTCTCATCAGTATGTCTTTAATGTGGACAGTTTCACAGAGCTGAAGCCCCTGAAGCTGAGCCTGCAGAAAGTCCTGTGTGAAAACATCATTGACCGAGTCGCCTCAGTTGGTACAAGGGAAACGAGCAACAGAGAAGGTTTGAACCAGTGTTTTTTGATAGTCACTTAATACGAAAGCCAGAAATCCCTGGTCAATGTTCAACAACAGCATGTTCACCCAGCAGTTTGTTTGTGCTCTGGGGATGTAAAGTTGTAGACTACTTGTTGCCTCTTGAGTTGTTGTTCTTTAGTTTAATCTTTACTCAAATATTCCCCAGTGTTTGAATGTTAATTTTTAACCTTCCACTCTTTGACGTTGTGAAAATAACTAACCTTTAAAGTTGCTCTTCCTCTCCAGCATGTGTGCAAAAAGATGAAGCGGACATCTTCTTCCTGATGGATGACTCGGGGAGCATTAAGAACCTAGACTTCGAAGACATGAAGACCTTCATCATCAAGTTTCTACATACCTTCACTATTGGGCCAGAAAATGTACGTGTGGGGCTTGTGAAATATGCTGATTCGCCAACTATAGAATTCGATATGACAGCCTACCCAGATGCCAAGTCATTGGAGAAAGTCGTCTTGGGTATTGAACACGTAGGAGGTGGGACAGAAACAGGAAAAGCTCTGTTATCTATGGGCAAACACTTTGAGAGAGCCGTGGCCAGCCGGGTTCACAAAGTCCCAGAGTACCTGATCGTCATCACAGACGGGGAATCCACCGATGAGGTCAAGGCTCCGGCAGAACAACTGAGGGCTCAGGGCGTCATCATCTACGCCATCGGGGTGAAAGATTCAAACAAAACGGAGCTGGAAGAGATCGCCGGCGACCCCAAGAGGACCATCTATGTCAATAATTTTGATGCCTTGAAATCCATCAACGATGACATCATCACAGACATCTGTTCTGAAGACGGTAAGGATATTTAGTAAATAAATCTTGAGTCAAAAGTATGTTGTGTTGTTCCCGTCTGGATGAAGATGACCAGGTGTATTTTGAATGTTTAATTGATATTTCTGCTTTTAGCGTTTCTTAACTAATACCATCTCCGATAAGCCGTAGAGCCGTAGTGCTGCTAGTTCACATATTGAAGCATGAGAGAGATGTTTTTTTATATAGCAGACTTTACAGCTAAAACAAATGAAATATGAATATGAAAGAAACCGACTCGTGATTTTCATGGGAGCTGCAGTTTATTTGTATCCTAACAAATTAATGTTGTTTAAGCTTTCAACTTCTGTCGTAGAAGCTCATTTATCTCAGAATAAGGATAGCAAGTAAGAAGACTGATGATGTAAACTCTCAAATGACAAATTGTAGTAAGTAGAGATATAAATATACAGTACCGAAACTATGCCAGCCAATATAACCATCATTTTCCTTGGCCTGGAAGACGGTGAGTAACAATGTCAGTGACTCCGCCTTATCGTGACCCTTCAGTTATCGGGGCATGAGGTTTTTTAAGCAGAGCCTTCTACAGGTACCAATTTGAGTTGAGTGTTTTTAACTTTGACTAGCTAGTTGTTTTTGAACTAGTGATTTAAAAGGTCACACCCCTTGCTTGTCTCTTTTCCTACAATCTCATTGGTACTCAACGACAGAAAAGTGTGGAAACAGGAACACCATGTAATCATTTCTGTGATCTTTGTCCACAGCTTGCAGAGATGTACAGGGTGACATCTTTTTCTTAACTGACAGCTCTGAGACCATCTCTGAGAAAGACTTTCAGACAATGAAAGAGTTCATGAAATCTGTCATCAGCAAGTCCGCCATCGGGCAAACCGAAGTGCAGGTCGGCGTCATGCAGTTCAGCACAAACCACAATCTGGAGTTCCCCCTCAGGCACTACAGCAGCCCAGATGACATAATGTCAGCCATCGATAATATGGAGCAGATGAATCAAGGCACGCTCACAGGTAAGGCCCTCAAAGAGGTGTCGCAGTATTTCGATGCAACCAGAGGAGGGCGACCTGGCAAGAGGCAGAGTCTGATAGTGATAACAGACGGTGAGGCCAAAGACCAGGTCAAAGGCCCCGCTGAGGATCTGAGGGCCAAGGGAGTGGTGGTCTACGCCATCGGCATTGCGGACGCCAACAAGACCCAGCTGGAAGAGATCAGCGGTTCATTGGACAGGGTATATGTTAAGAGGAACTTTGATGCTCTGAAGGACTTGGAACGCCAGATGACCTTGAAGATCTGCAAGAAAGGTAAGAGAAGTTCAAGACCATCCCAAAAAATGATTTAGATTACGGGTTTATTAAAGCATTGAACCTTCAGGTTAATCTCTTTTTCTCACAAGGGAGTCTTTGTGGTTTTACCAGTTAGCATTAAAGCTAATTGATGACCAAAAACTGCTGGGTGCGGTTACTGCATGTCACATCTCAAAAGTCCTGTCCCCATAGTAGGGTTGCCAGGTTTGAGCTCTGCAATAACTCTGCTGTCAACCAACCCGGCTGACTAGCATGGATCGGTGACTAGCTTACCAGCTAACAAGATCCAACATAGAAACGAAGCAGCCTAGTGTTGTGCTAAGCTAGGCTAAACACATCCGAGACATATCTCTGTACTGAGCACACAGACGTAAAGTTGATTTTATCTTTTCATCTTTTATGAGACCACGATAAGAACCAATCGGGTCTCAGTTTCCCTTCTAACACTCTGTGTTTGCTCTTTGTCTCTGTTCTCTTCAACCAGATTGTCGGATAGGAAAAGCTGACATTATTTTCCTGGTGGACAGCTCCACAAGCATAGATCCACCAGAATATGAAAGTATGCGGACGTTTATGGAGACAGTAGTGAACCAAACCACAGTCGGCGAAGACCAGACTCGTTTTGGGCTCATCTCCTTCTCGAATTACACCGTGCCTCATTTGACTCTGAATGCTTTTTACTCCAGACGAAAAGTTCTGGAAGCGATCCCCGTTAAGAATCCACAAGAAGGAAACACTTACACAGGCGAGGCCTTGAAATACTCGCTGGAGTTCTTTAGCGCTCAGCATGGTGGCCGGAGAGACCGCAAGGTGCCTCAGATTCTCATGGTGATCACAGACGGGGTTTCCAACGGTCGTTTAGACTTAAAAGAGACATCTGATGCACTGAGAAACAACGGGGTCATTGTCGTCAGTATCGGAGTGAAAGCATTAGAGGATGAGCTGGAGCAGATGGCTCGTGAGCTGAAGACGATGGCTGGTGGAGACGAATCCAAAGTTTTCTACGTGGACGCCTTTGAGGGACTAGAAACTTTGTACAGAAACATGTCTAATGTCTTCTGCATTAAGAGCGGTAAGACAACAAAACAGTGTTTAAAATCTTTTTGATGTATAGTTCACAGGGTCCAAAGGTGTCCTGCATCTTCTGAACTGGAAGATTTAAAAGATCAATTCAGCAAACAAAAATACATAATTTACACTTAAACCAGGTGATATCTGATAATGCTCACAGTTTATTCCAGAAAGTCATGATTTGGGGGAAAATCTTCTCAGCACTATTTCAGTATTGAGTCCAGTAAGTGTCGAGTGGAATCTTTTGATAAATCAGAAACTTTATTAATTAATATTTTAGTGCTCAATGTTCTTATTGTGTTCCATTGATTCAATAGTTCATTGCTCCTTCACCTTCTTTGTGGACAGCAGCAGTCCTTACTGCACATCCAGAATCTTTTGTGAGGTTTTATGAACTAGATGATATTCAAAATAAACCTTGAAAAGGAATGTTAAAGATACACAACAAAGAGTAAAAATCCCCAAACCTTTAGTATATCCATGTCCTCAGTCCGAGACCAAAACACAACAATTCCTTCTAAGAGGCTAAGTGGATTCTAGCTAGATATAACACAAATGGAATGATTTCAGCTCTGAATGTATACTTCAATACACTCAATACTTCAGAAACAACACATTTGACAAAAAAAAAAAAAAAAGAGTGCCTTCCAGATTTTGATTGGCTGATCAGGTCGAGCAGGAAAGATGTAAAAAATTGTGCTGTACCCGATTACCTGTAGACCATAAGAGGTATTGGTCACATTTTGAGAACTACCTGATCAGTACACATCAATAACAAGGTATAGAGAGATCTCCAACCTCAGTGAATTGGGGAGTTGAGTGTGTTGTGGCCAAACATGAATGAACCATTACAGTGATAATTGAACTTATTAGTAATGTAAACAAACACCTTTCTCTTGCTCTGCTTTGGCAGCTTGCGAGGCCGACCTGGTCTTCCTACTGGACTACTCCAGCAGTATCAACGCATCAGAATACAACGTCATAAAAAACTTTACGACAGACCTGGTGAACAGCTTCAACGTCAGTGAAGACTTTGTGCACGTTGGACTTGCACAGTTCAGCAATGTACCGAAACATGAGTTTGACCTCAACAAGTACTTCCATAAGGAGGATTGCATCTCACACATCCAAGGCTTGGAATACAAAGGTGGAGACACCTATATCGGAAAGGCCTTGGATCACATCAAGGATTACTTTGAGGTGTCGCGGGGCAGCCGCAGGGAGATCCCCAACATCCTGGTGTTGATCTCAGATGGTAATTCTCACGATGAAGTGAGGGACGCAGCCAGCAGTCTCAAGGATGTGGGGATCAAGGTGTTTGCCATCGCCGTCGGAGACGTTTACCCCCTGAAGCTCCTTCAAATCACCTATACTCCAGAGAGGCTGTTTACAGTGCGGAACGTCAACGAATTGGCTAATATCAAGCAAAAGGTGTTGGACGAGATTTGTCCAAAGGATCCGCCCCCCCAAGGTTTGTGAGTTGAAAAGTGTGACTTTGCCTTTCCCTCCATATTCCTCTGTTTCTCTGGCTGCCAAAGGTAAAAATGTGTTTCCTTTTACTTCAGCCTGCAGTATCGATATCGCCATGGGATTCGATATTTCTCGGGAAGACCGAGGTCCTGGCGAGATGCTGATCAGCGGCCACGCCAAGCTCCAGGCCTTCCTGCCAGAGATCGTCCGTTACGTTTCTTCGGTACAAGGTCTGTGCTGCGGCGTTACGGATCCTGTCAAGACCAACATTGCCTTTCGAGTGCTCGGTAGAGACGGACAGCGCCTGTACAACACAAACTTTGAGCCCTACAGCAGCAACGTGGTGCATAAAGTCATGAACCTGCAGATGTCAGGACCTTCCTACTTCAAGACAGCCCTGCTGAAGTCCTTCAAGGAGATGTTCAAGATCCAGTCCAAAGCTAACGTGAAGGTGAGAGGTACACAGCTGGTTGTGTTTCTATTTGGTCATCATGAAAGTATCACATGGTGGCGAAGGCTTGTTATTCTGTAGCCACAGTGTTCTGCATGCTAACATGCTAACATGCTGATGTTTAGCATGTTTACCATATTCATAATTTGCATGACAGAATTACCAGGAGACGCAAAGAACAGCTGAGGCTGATGGGAGTTTGTTGAGTCATAAACCAAAGTATTAGACGTAGTGAAACGCTGACCTGATGATGGCGCTAGATGAAAAGTCAGAGCATCACCAAAGTTATTAGCTTTCATCCTCAGAGGAACATGAATCCATCACCACTTCAGTCTGGACCAACGAACACGAAACGTTTTACACAAATGAGGACAAAAAGCAGGATGTTTACTGACATGATGCTCCTACCAAGTACTGTTACTTCAAAAACATCATCCACATACATGTGACCCATCAGGTGCTGGTGATCTTCTCAGACGGACTCGATGAGGATGTGATGAACCTGGAGCAGGAATCAGAGCTGCTGCGACAGTCTGGTAAAACCTGCTCTGATATATAGATTAAATTAATCCTGAAACTCAAAACACTTTTTCTCTGCTTCAGATTTTCTGTCTTCTGCTCAAGTTATTGATTTCATTCATCTCTTCCTCTGCTTCTTAGAATCTTCCTTCCCCTCTCAGGTGTCGTCTTGTTCATCAGTTTACTGAAATGCATTTCTATGTATTTGATGGAGTAGGTTTTTTGCTCCTGATCCTTTTAGGGAAATCGGTAAAGCTGCCATCTGTAGTTTTGTTCACTGTGTGCAGGTGTTAGCGCTCTGCTGATGGTGGCCCTGGAGGGGACCCGAGACCCCGCCCAGCTGCAGATGGTGGAGTTTGGGCGAGGATTCGGCTACAAGCTTCCTCTCAGTGTCGGCATGCAGAGTGTCGGCAGTGCCGTCCTCAAGCAGATTGTGAGTCGTAAACCTTCAGGACAGCTTCATACCTTCTGTCGAACTCAGAGAGCCGGTCTGTACGAAGTCCAGAAACTGTCTCTCGTTGAAGACCTTCACCGTGTAGAACTCGGTTGTTCTCTGAATAATGAAAATAAAAGAGCTTGAGGAAGTAGTTCTTGTTCTCACCTGAGAATCACTGCATGAGTTCACACTGCTGGATTGTTTAAAGATTGAAGAGTTTTTCCAGATCTGGTTTTATTTTATAGCTCAGCCAGACTCCACATGAGCCAGAGAGCGGAGTCTGGCTTCACTGATCAGGAGGGTTTTACACTGAAGAAACCTGTGCTGAAAGTCAAAAGAACAATTAACGATGGTGATGGCAAAAGGTTTGAATGTAAATGGAGCCAGAGATGTTAAGGTCCAGCAGGGTTGTGCTCTGTCCGGGATGCTCTCTGCACTCTCCCTGGAACCCCTCCTCATCAGAATACGCTCTCACCTACAGGGTCTGGTTTTACCTGGTTTTAGTAGGAACATGGTTTTATCAGCTTATGCAGACGACATTGTTGTTTTTATCTCTGTTCTTAATCCCTCTGTTCTTAGCCAGTGCCCGTTCTGCAGCCTTAGAGAGACTGTTCACCATGTTTTTACTGAGTGTAAGAGACTCATAGAGTTCTTCTCTCTTTTAACTTTGGTTTTTAGTCTTTCTCATGTGTTTACTGAAAGGGTTTTCATCATGGGAGCTGCCTACAAGAAAACAGGAAAAGAAAAGTGGCAGCTCCTCAACTGTCTTTCAGGAGAAGCCAAGATAGCAATTTATCTGAGCAGGAAGAGCCGAGTTGTCTTTAATTATTTCTTCTAATGTTTGGAGTTTTTCTTTTGTAATATATTGATCTGAATTAGTTTGATTTATTGGTATGTCTTTGTACAGATTTTCAAAATGTGCTCTCCAGATGTCACCATGTTGGATGGATAATGAGTAACACAATAACATCAATACACAATTCTCTCTCTCTCTCTCTCTCTCTGTCTCGCTCTCTCTCTGAGTGGAAGGAGTGTGGAGTTGACGGAGCGTGTTCGAGAGCGATTAACACTGATTTTTTTCTGGTATTTTTTTGTCACTAGTTAACGTTGGATGTGATAGTGTATCTCACGGTGTTTGTGTGAACATTTAGCTGGTTTTGGGGTCTTTGTGAGTGGTTTCAGTCGATCAGTGCGTGCTGTCGGCTGCTAAACGCCACCATGGACATGACCGACCTCACGAGGAAACACGGCATAAAGATCCCGCCGACTTTCCCGGTGTCAGTAGAGGAATGCAGCCTGGCTGTGGGTGAACTTGTTGGACATAGCAGCGTTGCGTCCGCTGCGCGAATGAACAATGGCGTGGTCATATTTTTAGACACCATCGGAAATGCGGAAGTGGTGATTGACAACCGAATCGAGGTGGGCGATAACTTCTTCCCCGTTTACCCTCTCTGCACACCGGCTGTGAAGGTAACCGTGTCCAACGTCCCACCGTTCATCAGAGATGAAGACATAACCAGGGAACTATCAAGATACGGGAGGATAGTGTCTAAGGTGAAGAAGGTGTCCTCTGGGTGCAAGTCTCCTCTCCTGAAGCACGTGGTGTCTCACAGGAGACAGCTGCTCATGATCCCAAACAACAGGAGCAAGGGGCTCAACCTAGTGTTCAAGATCAGGGTCGATGACTTCGACTACCTCATTTATGCAACAACTGATGACTTTAAATGATTCAGTTGTGGAAAAGTGGGTCATCAGAGCAGGACGTGTCCTGAGAAAAACAGCTCTCATAAGGACCAGAACCAGACAGGTACTGAAGAGGGCAGAGGGGACAAGCAAGACGGACAGGACGGGCCAGATGGGGTCCAAAAGAGGAGGGTGGAGGAAACAAGTGGGGTACAGGAGGTGAGAAAAGAGGGGGAAAGTGGGGGACAAGAGGTGATGAAGGACGGGGCAAGTGAGGTCCAGAAGGTGAGGGAGAGTACTGGAGGACAGGTGGAGATAGGTGGTGAGGTGGACATGGAAGCAGACGAGGAGCAGCTCAAAGCCCCTCAGCTGAAGAGGAAACAGAGGAGACAGCAGAAGCTCGCAGGCGAAGAAAGTGGCAACTAAAGAAAGTGGAGGAGCAGCAGAGTGTGAGTCCAGTATGGAAGAGGACTCTGAGTCAAGTCAGGAGGAGGGCGCTGCTTCTGACAGTGAGCCCTCTAAACACGGTGCTGGCAGCTGTAGGAGCTCTGGAGACTACAGTGTGGAGAAGATAAAGGAGTTTCTGAAGAGGAGTAAGAATGTGAGAGGAGCCAAAGTGGAGGACTACCTCTCTGACAAAGAGAAGCTCTCCAGCTCTGCCAGAGCTCACATGAGGAGCAAGGACAGAGGAGGTCTCACGAAGCAGGAAGGCTTCAGACTGAAGAAGATAGTTCACAAAGAGCTGAACAAAGATGGTGCTAAGTGAGAATAAGTTCTCACAGTCTAAAGACAATCAAAGACACATTTATGTTTGTTGGACTTTATTTGTTTAACCCTTTTAAATGGTAAAGAAACATGTTCAAAGAAAATAAAGGTTTTCTAAAAATCAAAAAAAAAAAAAATCTGTCTGTCCTTTGACTCTGTCTTCTGTCTCTCTGCAGGACTTTGTGTCAGAGAGGGAGTGCTGCAACGTCATGTGCAAATGTTCGGGACATGAAGGCGTCCGAGGCTCTCGGGGCCGCCCGGGCTCAAAGGCGAGTGGAAGACACGCCCCTTTAGAGTGTAAACATGATGTGTGACACCTGCAACGGGCCCGGTTCCTCTTTCTGTGTCGTAAAGATTCTTTTTTTTATTGAAAGATGCTCACTTCACAGTGAAACGATGTAAAGTAAGGAGGTCAGCGGTCTGAGAGTTTCTGGTCTTGTGTTTCATGAACAGGGTCCGTCTGGACAGAAGGGTCAGCTGGGCTTCCCTGGAGAGGAAGGAGTCTTTGTAAGTGCTCTTCATTCACTTTGACATAAACAGAATGACATGAATAGAATAGAATGTGCTGATGGACCGGTGGCACCACAGGATGAACTGTGTGCGCTCTAGTTTCATGTTCTGCTTTCTGATGGTCGTAGATTCCTCCTAAAAACGTTGAACTCATCCAACATGAAACGGTGTCAGCTGATCTGTGTTGGTCCCTTCTGGACTCTGATTCACTGCTGCCTCTGTTGGGCTGTTGCAGGGGGAGCGAGGGCTTCCTGGACCAAGTGGACCTCAGGGCTTGGAGGGCTGTCCTGGAGCCAGAGGACACAAGGTTTTTACAATATCTTTTATCTACTTCATATTCTTACAAGATGAAAATGCTGCTGCTACATTCAGAAAAAACAAAGTAATGTCAGACGTTCTCAGGTTCTTTTCTGATCACAGAGACAGAATGTAAAGCAGAAGGTTGTCTCATGGTGCTTTGTGTCTGCAGGGCTCCAGAGGATTCTCCGGTGAAAGGGTGAGTACTCAGGACCACTAAACACTAAAGTCTGCTCAGGTTAGTTACAATGTGATTGACAGAGTCGAGCAGCAGTGAGACGTTGATTCTCTTCCAATAGGGCGAAGACGGAGCAGATGGACTGTTCGGAGTCGATGGAGAGCAGGTACCAACATCACAATCCAGACTAACTAAAGCCTCTTTATTCATTCATTATGAACCAGTGTCAGTTTAAAGGAGCAGTGTGGAGGATGTAGTGCCATCTAGTGGTGAGGCTGCAGATTGAACCGTAACGACTAGTCGTGAAACCAAACATCTCTCTAGTTATGCTCTATGTGGGCCCTGAGCTGGTTCTGGTTCTGGTTCTGCAGGGACTGACTGGAACAGATGGAGCTCAAGGAGAGAGAGGAGAGCCTGGAAACCCAGTAAGTTCTTCATATTTATCAAACATTTAATTCAACTCAAGTATGACGAATAGAACGAATAATATATTCATGAAAATGCATTAAAATACATTATATTTTAGTATCATTACCAGTAGTAAATATTATGATTTATATGAATACTTATAATTGACATAGTTCTTTCTGCTGTTACTGTTGTTACAGATATGATTATTTTAATGTCTACGTACATTTTAATTACGTTTCCTGCTGTAATCCGATCCCCCGGCTGGTTGACTGACAGGTTGTCCTTTCGTCCTCAGGGTATCCCGGGTATCAGAGGGGAGGCGGGGCTTAGAGGACAGCGAGGACTCAGAGGAGATCCGGTGAGTCCAACATTTGATGTTATTATCATTATTATCTGATTTCTCATTTAGAGAAGTTCATCTGAACATCTGAATATCATCAGGAGGACTCGTGATCCCTCACCGGCTTCCCACAGAGCTCTCATTCATAGACTGTGAATTTTAGGATAATTTAAAACGATGTATTCATGAATGAAATGTATTTGCCTTTATTTTCTCCTGTTTTCAGCTACAATAAGAAGTTTTTATTTGTCATATGCACAATATTTACAGTACAGCAGAGTACTACAAAATGTATACAAGAAAAACATGCAAGTAAATATAAGTGCTGTATGCAGGTAAACAGTAGTATAAACAGTAGTATAAACATTAGTACAAGCAAGTAGTGGTATAAACAAGTAGTATAAACTAATATCAGTGAAGTAGTAACCCCTGCCCCCTAGAAGGAGGTGAAGTAGTGCCAGTAATAATATGATAATATAAATATAAATAATATAATAAGTAAAGAGCTCTTGAGGCTTTAGAAACATTCAATGAAGGACTGTGAGAGCTTCCTGAGTCCAGCAGGACTCTCACAGACCAGACCAGCATGTATGTGGGAGTTGTCAGAAAGAAGGAGAGTTTTCCCTGTTGGCTCTATGTTTACAGTAAAAACAGGATAAAAGTTGGATGGCCTTCTAAAACCCCCACATCCCACACGTCAGACCCTTAAAGTCCAGTACATCTCAGCCAAAAGTCTTGTGTAACTTCTTGAGAAAACACAACCTCCCTCTGAATCTGATTGTGACAGAGAAATAAATCTAATGTCTCCTGTTAGAGCCAATCACAGCTGGAGGCTCCTCCATGTGGACTTTCTCTTTCAGGGCGGACTGAGGATCTTTGTGTTTTGTCCAACAGGGTGAACCAGGGGCTGATAACACCAGTCCGGGAGCCAAAGGGGACCCTGGGAACCCAGGTTTACCGGTAGGAACCATCACACTCTGGATCTGTGTTGAGACTGATGCTGTTTGGTGAACTTCAAGTCCCACAATGCACTGCTGTCTGAAACATCCTGCTGTGACCAAGAGTCCTGGACACCATGGGACACCATGGGAAGTGTTGGAAATACAGTAGCTTCCTTTAGAATACTTTACACATCCAATCAGAGGGCTTCACAGAGCTTGTAATAGTGGGCCAAAGGTAGAGGCTATTGCATAAATCATCAGGCAAAGCATTCTGGGTACTGTAGTATTTAAGGTCCTTCTTGTTTCAGGATGCTTTCCCAAGGCTTTCAAGACTGCCAGAGTCACCCCCCTTCTGAAGAAACCATCATTTGACCCCTCTGATGTCAAGAACTTCAGACCAGTTTCTCTTCTATCCAAAACACTTGAACGTGCTGTCTTTAACCAACTGTCTTCCTATCTCCAAAAGAGCAGCCTCTTGGACCCCCACCAGTCCGGGTTCAAAGTGGGTCACTCTACTGAGACAGCCCTCCTTGCGGTGAAAGAGTCGCTTCACGCCGTGAGAGCTAACTCTCTCTCCTCTGTCCTGATTCTGCTGGACTGTCTGCAGCGTTTGACACTGTGAACCACCAGATCCTCCTCTCCACCCTCGAGGGGATGGGCGTCTCAGGCTCTGCACTCTCCCTGTTTGCATCCTAACTGACAGGTCGATCCTACCAGGTGACGTGGAGGGGGGCCGTGTCGGAACCACGCATGCTGACTACGGGGGTTCCGCAAGGCTCAGTCCTGGGCCCCCTTCTCTTCTCACTCTACACAACATCTCTGGGTTTTGTTATTCGCTCGCATGACTTCTCTTACCATTGTTATGCCAATGACACCCAGCTGGTCTTGTCATTTCCCCCCGGGGACACTCAAGTGGAGGCACGCATCGCTGCGTGCTTGGCTGACATCTCGAAGTGGATGACTACACACCACCTGAAGCTCAACCTGGACAAAACCGAGCTACTGTTCCTCCCGGGGAAGGGTTGCCCACACTGAGACCTGTCCATCACCATTGATGATACCGTGGTGACGCTAACTCGGACTGCGAGGAACCTGGGTGTGACTCTGGATGACCAAATGTCGTTCTCAGCAAACATTGCATCGGTTACACGCTCCTGCAGATTCCTGCTCTACAACATCAGGAGGATTCACTTCCTCACTGACGAGACGGTGCAGGTGCTCATCCAGGCTCTTGTCATCTCCCGCCTGGACTACTGCAACTCTCTACTTGCCGGAGCCCCGGCGTCGGCCATCAGACCTCTGGAGCTTGTCCAGAAAGCTGCAGCTCATCTGGTGTTCAATCGCCCCAAGTTCTCCCACACAACTTCCCTTCTCCGTTCTCTACACTGGCTCCCTGTAAGAGCTCGCATCCAGTTTAAGACTCTGGTGCTAGCCTACAGGGCAGTGAAAGGAACGGCTCCTTCCTATCTCCAGGCCATGGTCAAGCCCTACACCCCCGCCCGACCACTTCGCTCTGCTGCCTCGGGGCGATCGGTTGCCCCGTCGCTCAGAGGTCCCTACGGCCGATCAACCCGATCACGGCTGTTTTCTGTCCTAGCCCCTCAGTGGTGGAATGAACTCCCCACTGACGTCAGGACAGCAGAGTCGCTGCCCATCTTTCATCAGGCTGAAGACTCACCTCTTCAAGAAGTACTACCCTGAGCCTTCCACTTAGCACCTATTGTATTCATACTAGTTGTTGCACTTACTGTATTCGTATTAGTTTGTTTCTGTACTTCTGCTCTGGTTTATGCTCTTAGATGCTTGTTTAAAAAAAGGAGATGTACTTATGACTTCTGGTGACTAGTTCTCTTGAATACCGATGTTGAATACACTTACTGTAAGTCGCTTTGGATAAAAGCGTCTGCTAAATGACTGTTATGTAATGTAATGTTCTAAAGTGTATTCTTTCTCACACAGGGATTATCTGGAGTGGACGGGGGGGCAGGTAGCGATGGAGGCCTCGGGAACCCGGTGAGATTTCTGACCTCCATTCTGTCCTATCATCCCTGTACGTTTTACTGATAATACTTCTCTTCTTGTACTCAGGTAAAGTTTTGAATCCATTTGAAATGCGTTTTGGTTCTCTTTCTGTATTTTAATCAGAACATTTTGGTTCTCTGTCTGTATGTGAATCAAAACATTTTGGTTCTCTGTCTGTGTGTGAATCAAAACATTTTGGTTCTCTGTCTGTGTGTGAATCAAAACATTTTGGTTCTCTGTCTGTGTGTGAATCAAAACATTTTGGTTCTCTGTCTGTGTGTGAATCAAAACGATGTAAAAGTTAAATGTCCTCAGATGACAGTGTTTTCTGCTGTGCAGGGTCCAGACGGGAGGAGAGGCTCTGTGGGGCAGAAGGTAGGAGAGGAACTCAACAACACCGGACTCTGATGCAAAGCTTTAAATATCCATTACACATTGAAATACTGTCCGTCTACAGGGGCTACCTGGAGACCCGGGGGATCCAGGACTTCAGGGCAGCCCAGGTGCTTCTGGTCCTCAGGTGAGTGATCATACAACAGCTGCCAACATGAAGCTGATTAACAGGTCGCAGGAACAGCTGCAAAAGCACCAACACCAGCAAAAGCACCAGCACCAACACTAACGTAGGAGACCTATCGCTGCAGAAACATAGAGGAAACTTTCTTCTTTTTTTGGGGGGGGAGAATTACAGAGTCCAGTACATGTACATTTACAAGTGAATGTACACTGATTTGTGAGCAGGAATATAGTTTGTTTCCACTTCAAAACCTGCTCTTATATCTGCACATCGGAGCATTTCTATTGCCTCCTCACGGCTCAGCGAGGGTTCGGGAATGTGACACTTGGGAGTCTTGGCTCACGGACAGACTTCCAGAGAAATTCAGTGGAGCTGTTTAGTGAAATGGAAACCATGTGGGGATCTTTCATGAGGAGAAAAGGAAACGCTGTGAACATTCTTTCTGTCACCCATGAAAACTTCTCTCCTTCAATGAAAACTCTTCTCACAGATTAAAATAGCATCATTCAGATTCCAGATGTTTATTAACATGTCAACCCGATTATGTCGCATAACAGAGAGAATCCTGTTAAACTAAACACTTTGATAATTGATCAGTAAATATTGATTGAAGAGGTTGAAACTGTGATTAGATCAGCTGATGTTCCAACAGTAACTATAACACCTTCTGTTTATATCTGAAGTCTGAAGAAGAGTTTGATAAAGTTACCTCCCGTTTGTTCTAGGCTGCTTTTATTGTGAAACTCTTGAAACAGGAAGCTGTTCCTGTTTCAATCTAAGCTTCCAGCTGATTTCTTCTTCTGTTGCTCAGAGGATCTTTGTCTCTTTGAACAGAGTTTAGTTAGAACGTCCACTGAACTAAAGAACATCTGTTAGTGACGAACACGTTCTACAAAATAAAAGCATCATGTTGTCCTCTCACACGTCTATGGCAGAGCCGGGTTGGGGGGTATGTTCAGGGAAAATAATGGTAGCTTCCAAGATTAAAGTCTTAAATGTACGAGATAAAACTCAATGAAGAAAAATAATTTACGAGAAGAACAGTGGAGTGTTATGTTCAGAAAAGACTCATTACATAACTGAGTCACTGAAGAGTCCAAGGAAATAGAAGATAGAAAGAAGCCTGAATAGAATAAAAGAGGAGAATAAAAACGCCAGATATGAACATATAAATAAGAAGTCCCAGTTGTTTCTTCAAGTGTCCTCAAGCAGTCCATGTTGTCTCTGCAGGGAAGCAGAGGAAAAAACGGTGGTCGTGGACCAAAAGGACTCTCTGGCCTTCCTGGACCTCAGGTCGGTGCATCACCTCATCATCGGCCTCCTGTAACTCAATTTAGTGTGGTTGTGTTCAAAACCAGATCAGGACTGTGGATTAGTTGTTTTACAATGACGCTGATTTAGGAAACGATCGGTACGATGAAAAGTCTCTCAATGTGCACCAGGACTTCAGGGCCATTTCACACCTTCTGGTGTGATCCGAACCAGAATGACAGCTGTAAAAACTTCCCCGAAAGCAAATGAGGTGGACCGAGAGTCAAAAAAACAAAAACACTTCAATTATTCAAAGATGACAGAGAGACGTTAATGTCCTGGACAGGAAGTAGGTGGTGACCACCGTCGTCCTGTCTTCACCTACATCCTGTCTTCACCTACATCCTGTCTTTATCACATATGTCCAGCCTTCATCACCTACTTCCAGTCTTCATCACCTACTTCCAGTCTTCATCACCTACTTCCAGTCTTCATCACCTACTTCCAGTCTTCATCACCTACTTCGTCTTCATCACCTACTTCGTCTTCATCACCTACTTCGTCTTCATCACCTACTTCGTCTTCATCACCTACTTAGTCTTCATCACCTACTTCCTTTCCTCATCACCTACTTCCTTTCCTCATCACCTACTTCCTTTCCTCATCACCTACTTCCTTTCCTCATCACCTACTTCCTTTCCTCATCACCTACTTCCTGTCCTCATCACCTACTTCCTGTCCTCATCACCTACTTCCTGTCCTCATCACCTACTTCCTGTCCTCATCACCTACTTCCCGTCCTCATCACCTACGTCCCGTCTTCATCACCTACGTCCCGTCTTCATCACCTACGTCCCGTCTTCATCACCTACGTCCCGTCTTCATCACCTACGTCCCGTCCTCATCACCTACTTCCTGTCCTCATCACCTACTTCCTGTCTTCATCACCTACTTCCTGTAAAAACTGTGAAGAAAGCATCTGTAATCCTCGTGTTGAAAAAGGAAACAGCAGGTGACAGAACGAGAGAGGTCGGCTGTCAAACTTTTCTTTAATTTGAGGCAGATTGTTTTTTTAACACAATACATTCTATCATGTTATATTTTTTACTTCTCTTTTTTCACTTGATTTTTCTTTCGTCACTTATATAATAATCACAAGTTCCAACTGCCAATTATTAATATTAGGCAACATGACCTCATGCTGGATCTGTTTGTTATGCACAGAGCCGACATCATCATTCATGAGCAGAGTGAGAATTATTCATTAAAATACACTGAGGTTCAGTTATTAGCTCATGTAGTTTTTTGATTTGGTCGTATTTAGCTTCTTTAGCTGCTCACCTAAAGCTGAATAACAAACTCAAATGTACCTGATGACTGTTTGTCGTCAATTTTAAAGGCCTCAACGAGCTTCAAAGATAGTTCTGTATATCGTGTTTAAAGCTCAACGTGTTTTTATACCTGGTCTGAATCTTTAATGTCAGTCCTGCCTGGACTCTGTTGGTCTTCCTGCAGGGTGGACCAGGACCAGCTGGAGAGCCGGGATTAGCCGGACGTCGTGGAGCTAACGGACAGAAGGTGCGTGGCATCATTTCCTTGAATCAACCAACACACCACATTAAGACGAGTCCGGCTGTGATAGCTCTGGTTGTATTGGCCTGTTGTCACGGATACCCGATGATCATCCAATCAGAATCAGCTTTATTGTCCGAGGCTACGTGCACATACGAGATATCTTCAACACTTTCTAGCTCTTCCTCGGGAGCTCCGATACGTTCACAGGCCAGACGAGGTATCTAATCCCTCCAGCTTGTTCTGGGTCTACCTTGGGGCCTCTTTTTAGATTTGGACGTGTCCGTTAAACCTCTAAAGAGAGGCGTCTAGGAGGATCCTGATCCGATGTTGAACCACCTCAGCTGGTCCCTTTAACATGAAGGATCAGGGTCTCTAGTCCTCTCTCCTCTCCCTTTCTCTAAGGCCGAGTCCAGATTCCCTACGAAGGAAGATCATTTCAGCGATGCACTTCCTACTGCCCAGTCTGCCGGAAATTAACAGAAGAAGAAGAAATGAAAACCAAACAGACCCTGGGTCAGTTCTTTGGCGTGTCCCAGATGTTGAGACCTTGGTTACATTTCTCTATAGCCTTTCCAAAATGTTCAGACGTCGTGGACAAAGCCAGTGAATGAGGACGCACTTCCTCTCAGAGGACGTCAGTGGAGTAGGCAGTCCTCCAATGTGGCCCAGACCACCTGCTGATGTGGTCTGAGCGATCGGGTCTCTGCGCCTACGTAGAGCTGTCCACTTGTGATTGGAAGTTAGAGTCCAGCTGCTTGATGATTGGTCATAAACCAAAATGTTGGACACATTAACATGTTGACCGGATAATGGAGTCAGAAGGATCACCTAAGTTACTCCATTGTTGTTGTTGTTGTTAAAGGGCCAACCAGGAGAGCCGGGTGTGAAGGGAGCTCCTGGATCACGGGGACCCAGAGGAATGGCGGTAAGGAGCTGATTATCGTTGTGAATACTGTGAGTTTATGGTTCAATCGGTGAGTCTGACCATCTGTCCCGCGTCTCAGGGTCAAGACGGAAAAGACGGTTACGGACCTCGAGGACCCGAAGGAGCCAAGGTAGAGCTGGACCAACGAAACCGTAATGTGAACATGAGACCATCACGATAGAAGTCTGGTTTCCATCCTTTCCTGTTGTGTGAATATGTCAGTTTAATACATAAAAACAGCTGGTTGGTGCCGTTAAAGCACCACAGAAGAAGAAGAGGTGTCTGCTTCGGTTTCACTTTTCCACCTCAGCCAAGAGATTTTCTTCACCATATTTTGACTTTTTCTTAAATTTCCATCATTTCCATTTCATTTTTTACAGCCATCACAAAGACGCCACTAAATCCTGACAGTTAAAGAACCTTCTGTTCTGATACAATACAAATGAATGAAATGTACTTCTTACGTACCTTCTCTTTACAGGGAGATCCTGGTTTCCCTGGTTACCTTGGTCTACAGGTGAGTCCATCCTTTTTTCTAAGATCTGAGATCTGAATCAAACATGAAGAAGAAGAAGCTCGTTGGAGTCCAGACGGCTCAGTCTGTTTTTTCTTGTGTGTTCAGGGTGAGAAAGGTCTGGAGGGACCCAAAGGCTACCCGGGGCCTAAAGGGAACCACGGTCGAGGGGTGAGCCCCAACATGCCTCATTTATTTCTTATTTCTGAATGTTTTTTCTTCTTCTTCTGTGACTTTTTAATTCTGGTTCTGGTGGATCTAGGGGAACTCAGGCGGTCTGGGAGCTTCAGGCAGGCCTGGAGAACCGGGTCATCCAGGACACAAAGTGAGAGTTTTGTTTTATTCATCATCAGAGACACGAGGCGGAAGATAACACTATGACATAATAATGATGTCATCCTTCCTTCAGGGTCCCAGAGGTCCTCCTGGAAGCAAAGGAATGACTGTAAGTCAATGATGGAATGGAAACATTTTACTTCCACTTTTACTGCATTTACATACTTCTACTTCGGTCAGGTTTTGAATGCAGGACTTTTATTTGTAGTGGAGTATTTTCACAGTGTGTATTCATACTTTTACTGAAGTAAAGGACCCGAGTACTTTAACTGCTCCTGTAAGTCCATCTTACATTCCCTCGACCTGCCAACGTTAAGGGAACATTCAATATACAGTATATTTACATATTCTGTGTTTTATCAGGATTGTCAGCTGATCAGCTACATCAGAGACAACTGTGGTGAGTGTTTCAATGTGTTTGGAATTTAGACACTTCATACCACTGACTTGAAGTTTTATGACAAGAAGTCTATAAATACTTCATAAATACTCCATAAAATCTCTTTATGTTTACTGACTTCCATCTACATGTTGACACAAATATTATTTGTCCTCCACACAGCTTGTTACCACGGTATGTATCATCTCCAGTTTGTCTGGTGAGTAGAAGAGAAAAGTCCAGTTTACTCTCTATTCATTCACCTTTTAACCTTTTTTGGTTTAAACATCTTGGTTTTGCTTTTTTTTATTTGTTGGGAACCAGAAGTGACACGAGAGGGCGGAGCTAAGTACAACAAAATGTTACCTGTAATTTTAGGGCTAAAACGTCATAATTAACTTTGATGAAGTGAAAACACACTGACACGCAGTGGTGTCGACCTGTCAATCACCGTGTAGCCCCGCCCTAAAGCATCCCCTGCTT